TAAATCATTTATTATTTATTTAAAAAGAAATTTAACATATTTATACTCATATAAATAAATATATGTCATCACAATAACTTTGCATGATAGACTTCATCTGCAAAGTAAATAGAAAAAAAATAATCGATCAAGAACGACTTTTGATTTGGAACTCTTAGAAATAAAATACATACATTCTAAACTAAAAGCAGCAATTGCTGATCATCATTGGTTAGATTTGGATCAAAATACTTTGGCAATCTAAATGAATACATTACGAGTAGAAATCATATTAAATAAATATATAGTATAGATCATGCAGATACTATTAATTGCAAATCCATCTCACTTAGATCGATAACTTCCGTTGCATATCGCTGATCTTATAAGCCATTTAATTATATCTTCGAGTAATCTCCATACACAGGGTTTTGACCTCTTTACTTTAGTAAATCATACAGTCAATAATTTTACCTGATCTAACAAAAAGTTGGGTTATGACAAAAATGCTCAATTATTTCTCCTTTTTCTGGGTATTCTACAAATGCTGGGTATTAGTGTTTTATTTAAGTAGACATTTTAGCAAGATAAGATATATCTAATCTAATTAATATCTAATTAATACGTGATTGTCGATGATGAGTGGCTCAGCACTTAAACTTGACTGTTGCTAAATTCGACATAGCCATACGTTTGAGCTTCCGCACACTCCAAACAAACGTTATATATGTTTACTCTATAAATACTATAATTAAACTGTTAGAAATTTTGATTTTTAGAACTTATTTATTATGTTTAAAAAGAGGTAAAAAATTTTGTATTTTAAATTTCAGACACAATTTATCGACAAGCACAACACACCGACTTAAAACGTGCGTACAGTACAAAATCTTTATTATTTGCTCTCATAAACATTGTTAATAAGGTAAACTGAAAGTTAATAAAATCTTGATTATAGTTGAGAGCTGCATAAACCGCCGTAACTCGTATTTATTAAGTATTTAATCTTTATAACACAATTAAGCTATAAAGCAAAAATAAAAAATATGGTACTACTTAAGTGGGACATAATTTATTAAAACTTTTTCAGTAATTTATTAAACAAATAATCACTATCTTTTTAACGAATTTTTAATGAAAGAAATTAATGTTGTGGCGTTTTTCTCTGAAATTCCTCGGGTTTTCTTGAACTTGACTTTTTTTTAAGTGGACGCAAGAGAGACAATGTAGGCCCCCTTCAATTAATTCCATTTAAGTATGTATGGTATATTGTATGTTTTATATATTAAAATAAAAATGATATCCTCTTATTGGCATTAATCTTAAATGATTCTCCATAATATTTATTTGAAGAAAATATGCTTATATATGTGAGTAATAATTAATTATTTATAATAAAATTAAGAATTACTATCACTGCAGCCAGTCTTCGGTCTTGACATTCTCTGACAAATCTCTCCAATAATCTCGAATATGCATGTAGAATATATAAATTACTATATATAAGCTATAGATTCAATTATTTGCGCTAAAGACATTTATCTTATTTTAATCCATATGTTATGGAAAAACAAATGATAACAATTAAAATAACAATTATTTAAAATGAAAACACAACCACGGAACACTGAAAAAGAAATCGAAATAAGATGTTATTTTAGTCTTTATCAGTATCTACAAAATGTACCATGGAACGATAATGCGAAATAACAATAAAATTGTAGGTCTTGTATTTGTGAAAGTGAAAAGGTCAATGCGGATAACGTTCCATTTGTGAACGTAGAAGAGATTAGTTTTTAAAGTTGACAGACACTTTAAGAAAAAAAATAACGACATTTTTCACAATCCGGTATAAATTGGAATAGATTGAGAAAAACATATGCTTACTGATAAATATTAATTGAATTTCTTATTTATTTATTTATAGTTATATAATTATATTTTAAATGAAGCACTGTAAATTATAATTAAAATGATTCATAGACAAAATAGAGCTGAAGTAGTTACTAAAATTCGTAATAAGCTAAAATTAGTTCAGCACAATTAATGATAGTAAATGAGTTATTATTAAACAGAAGATGTTCATTACATGCGTTATCGTTAATCATTATAGCATAATTTAAACATGTGTTTGAAAAATATGTACCCAGAAACGAAGAAAACTATACTCCAGGGCTACTCCTTCTAAAATAAATTTTATGTATTTAAATCACATTTTTAAAAAATATTGGTACCGGTCCCAGCAAAACATAAAACCTATTTTTTGTTCCGCATAATATGTGGGTTCAGGTACGCTATTTTACAACAAAACAATTTTAAAATTAAAATATGTTAATAGAACTTAATCTACCATATTATCTAATTTTATAATGATTATCAGTAAATCTTAAAAGTCTAAGTTTTGTTTAAGGAATTTTAGATCATTGTTATTTACCCACATAGAAACAATTACTAGCAAAATTTTGATCTTTTTGCCGAGATGTTTTATGAGATGCTCATTTTTGTCAGAGTAGTGAACTGGTTCTGGACATAACTAGTGTTCAACTTAAATCTTTACCTCAACGCAACATAACATGATTAATCCAAAATATTGGTATCGCGAAAATTAGATAACCACTTCAGGAATCTATGTGGTCCACAGCATTGATTTTTATGGCATAAACAATTGAAAAACTCGGAAATATATTTGCTTGCTTGTATTTTTCCCTAAACTAACTATAGAGCAAACACTCTCAGTTTTATGTTAGTAAAAATGTACTTGTAATGCAGTTCATAGCGATTTTTGCGGACAATTAATCTTTTTCACAATTACTATATTTTGGTCATATCTCAACAGGATGGATTGTAAATCCTTTGTCCTTCTTTTTATAACTATAAATTTTCAAATTTAAAACAAAACAGACAAATCACGTTTATTCATTCCCTATTATTAATATACTGCACCTGGTATGTGATATCTCTATTCAGGTGCAGTATTTCAGAAATATTGGTAATATAATAACTTTTATTTAAATTTTATAATATATGCTCGTACAAATTATTTAAGTTCGATGAAAAATACCTAAGATAGCGTATTTTTTTGTGAAATCACAAATTGGGTTCATGCACCAAAAAATAGTAGAATTTTTTGTTTTCGCACATTTTCAGTGAATTTCTATTTCTCGTCAAAAAAGTTGAAGCGAGTGAGGTGGCCTGATCGTTTTGCTTCGTCATCCTCAGTCATTTGGACTTTGAAATTTAAGTTAATTATTTCTCATAAATATTTAACAAATTCACGTGATATTCTTAATAAATAAAATGCACGCATGAATTTAGAAATCCATGTGCAATTTTCTTTTATATTTTTTAAAAACCCAATGACTAACTCATTAAAATTGTGTGAGTATAAACTATATAACGAGATGATAACGAGAATAGATAACCTCACACGTCATATATAACAACATAACGTAAAAACCATTTAATTAATTTGATAACATTAAAAATTGCCTCAAACTAGACTTTTCAATTACTCTATTTATAGAGCACCGGAAATTATGCTAACAGTTTAACAAACTAGAACTATAGCCAACTTATAAAAGTTGTCTCTGATTAAAATTATTTTATTTTTAATAATTTAGTTCTGATACACCATCATACCTCAAGATTGATAGATGTCAGTGGTAGCCGAACGATCTGACTTAGGTCCTGGACTCGTTGTGCTACCACAGAGTAGTTTTAAGACAGGCTAATTGACGTCAGAAATGTTCAATACGCTTCTCGGCATTCCACATAAGAAAACCTCTGAGTTGTTTTAGTAAAACGGATAGTATATTTAATGCCAGACTGATATTTATGAAATTAAAAATCTAGAGGGGATAGATGCTCCCTTAACAATTGTCGAAGAGTGACATAGTAAGTAGTTTAGCCATATTTTCCATTTCCCCATCTTACTTATAACTTAACAGTAGTCTTTCACATTCCTATTTTTTCGTTTTTCTAAATCAGAACGGGATTAACTAGCAGCTTAACATTGACAAAAATATTTTCAATAATTGCATTCGTAGTTAAGAAAGATAGTATGAAGGCAAAATGATTTAAAAAAATATCCTTTCCAGTCGAGGTGGCAAGATTTCTTCATCTTGATCCATGTTAGATTAAACATTCCTACCTGTGCTTTCTTCTTTACTCTTTTCTATATCCATATTGTGCAGTTTTTTTATCAACCTTTTATACGCTTACTTTTCAACTCAACAGTCTCTCAACTGTGAAATGCAACGAGTCCAAGTTTTTATTTTTTTTATAATTAATGATAATTATTTTAATCGGGCATTATTACTGGTTCCAGCGGTCCTAGCTTGTATAAATCTAAAAAATCTATAATCTATAAAATATGCCCAAAACTAAGTTAATTCGGTTGGGAGCTTTTGCAGCACAAAAGATCAACCATGGTTGCAGTGCTCTGTTCCGTTTAGAGCTGGTACTCTGTTTATTCCTATTCCTAAGTTAGTTTCCAATCTCTGCAACATCAAGCGAAGCTATGACACAACTAAAAAAGATCAAGTCACGCTCTATAAAAATAAAGCTTATAATTTTTTTAAATGTGAATATTTACTGAAATGAGGAAAACTGAAATAATAAAATGAGTATTTTGGAGATCCATGTCCTGTCACACAGTAATATCTTTAAGTTTATAACTAGGCCATCACACATAAAACCACTGCACAACTTAATTCTAAACAAACAATCAGTACTGGCAATTGAATAAGCCAGTGGTGGAAGGTAATATATGTCACCAACTTTACAACTAACTATAAGCTATTTTCTTAGGACGCACAAAACTCGAATTAGTTCTTCAGTACTTGTTCTTAGTATTTTCCGAACTTCTAATACCTTACACACTTCTTGTTTCACATCAAATTCATTCGAATTTACGACCATTTCCATATATGTAAGTTCCTTAAATGTTATTAACATCGTTCAGATCACAATTACAACAAAATTATTGATCACAACTTTGCACATTCACTGGCAATGATAAATACTTTTACTTCTCGAACCTTTGTTTGTTTTATTGAATGTAATTATCAGGATTTCAATAGTATTTTAATGTAAAAAAAAAAATCAACATGAAAATGTTTACTTCTTTTTGGACACACCAACAGTGCGACCACGACGACCAGTGGTTTTGGTGTGTTGACCACGTACACGGAGACCCCAGTAGTGACGTAGACCACGATGAGAGCGAATCTTCTTCAAACGCTCCAAATCTTCACGCAATTTTGAATCCAAATTAGATGAGGTCAATTGGTTATATTTACCATCAATGATATCTTTTTGTCTGTTAAGGAACCAGTTGGGAACCTTGTATTGCAAGGGATTAGAGATGATAGTAACAATTTTATCAACCTATAAGAATGAAATATAATAAATTGCTGATATGTTTGTGACTATATGAGTATGTAAACAAACCTCTTCCTCAGTACATTCACCGGCACGCTTAGTTAAATCGATATCTGCCTTCTTCAACACAATGTTGGAATAACGGCGACCAACACCTTTGATGGCGGTCATGGCAATACCAACTTTGCGTTTACCATCAATATTCGTATTCATGATACGAAGGATGTGTTGAAACTTCTCAGGTATGACCAGCGACTGCAAATACACATAGTTTATAATTAAAAATTAAATAAAACTAATACCAAAAGCAGTTTAAAAATTTATAATTAAATAATTTTATAAAACACGACACAATATTTGCGAGTTTTGTTTTGTTTGCATTACAGCGTCCAAGCGGATAGCATTCTTTTGTCTACATTTTTTAGTTTTTGTTGCAAACGATTGCAAACTATTTTTTTACAAATCAAAACTTCAAATATTGGTAAAACGATTTCTTCACTTTTTGTTTCACATAATTAATGGATGTTTTTAATTTTTAATGATAATATTTTACAGACGCACCATTTTGCCTTCTATACGCGACGAAAATCTTGCCGAAAAAGACAGTCACAGGAGACATTTCAAACGTCAAACATACTTCAAATTGTAATGACATCTGGTGGAGAAATTTCGTTTATGGCATTTGACAGATTTTCTCTATGGAGAAATGGATGGCAATTTCAACATGTTTTTTATGCAAATACAATTAACATAGCTTCATTTATAAGCAATGAAAATAACGTAGTATCATCTATAAACAATTCACTTTAAAAATACAATATATTCTTATTAAAATGAATTGATATTAAAATATGTTGTGTATAATTAACCTTCAGTATTTAAAAGTGAGATACAGGTGTCGCTAAATATGTATGAGGTTTAGATCTCTGCTAGAAACTAAAA